AGCCAATTAATTTATGTTATAGTTTTAACGAATAAATAATACTGTAAGTACTTTATTTAAATTTACTGATAATTTGACCAATATAAATTATCATGGGCAAATTACTATTTAATAAAGTACGTAATGTAGAATTAAATGCATATAACTACCACAAAGTAACTTTATCATTTTATTTCAAAATATATGCAGTAATTGATATATTTTGCAGTATAGTCAAACATTATAGATTAAGAAAAGCATACTGTTACTATGCAAATCTACAATGGTTATATTATTATATTTAGTTGTATTATTTTACCATAAAATAATTACTATGGTAGAATAAATTTGTAAAATTAACAAAATGTACCTTATATGTTATATAATTATTAATTTATAGTTTTTAAATGTTTAAAAAAATATTTATTATAAAACTATTATAATTTACAAAATATCTTGCACAATAAGCTCAAAATTATTTGAGAACAAGATAATATAATTTATATATAATATTATCGGAATATTATGTTTTATAAGAACTTAAACACATATTTATTCTATTAAGGTGTAAGTAAAAGTTGCTATACGGTGCGAATATATGCGATATACTGCATTTATAATGTTAAAATTACACAATTAACAGATAATACCTGTTGTTCGTGCTTGTACCTATGATGGTAAAACATGCCTCATGTCATTATTTGCATTGTGAAATGATATAGGAAGTATTTTCAAGCGACCTAGAACAAAATACTTGACAAATGATTAAATATAGAATGGTATAAATACAGGCTGCATCAGTATAATTATTATTATTAATTAATTGCTCATATCAAGAAGATATAGTAATTAATTGAAAAACATAACTATGAAGCTATTATGTTTATTGATGATGGTATTTTACCTTTCAGTTACGGCTGTGCCCGTAACTAAGCCTGGTGAATTTAAAGGCAAAATATGGGTTGTATTAGCTGCTGGTGGGGTTGATTGGAAAAACTATTCAATTCATGTAAGTTTATATTTTAAACATTATAAAATTTAAAAAAATTTATTAAAATGTTTCTTAATTTAAAAATGTAATTATTGTAATTAAAATGGTTGTTCTTACCCTAAAGGCCAACCTATACCACGCGTACCAAATGTTTCGCGGGAACGGTATTCCCGAAGAAAATATAATAGTTATGCATTACGACGACATCGCCTACAATACACAAAACCCATCACAGGGTAAAGTGTTTAATAAATTCAATGGCAGTGATGTCTATAACGGAGTGCCTAAACATTATACTGGAGAATATGTTACACCTGATGTAAATATTGGTACATATTTAAAATTATAATAATTAATTGTTTATTTGTTTTTTGTAGAACTTTTTAGATATACTTAAGGGCGATGAGGGATTGTCCCAAAATGGCAAATGGCCCGTGGTCAATAGCGGCCCCAATGATCATATATTTGTTTATTTTATTGACCATGGTTCGCATGGTAAGTTTCATATGATTTTAATTAATAAACATGTTTACATAGAATTATTTAGTAATTACTTTCATGAAGGTTATGTACTTGAGTTAATTAACTGATAATAAGCATTGTTTTTAAAAAGTAAAGATATCTACTTATAATTAAACTATGTCTTTATATTTTGCGATTATCTTTATCTCTCTCTCTCTCTCTCTCTCTCTCTAATTAAATTAAACTACAAATTTTTATCATAATTAATTTTCAAAACAGATATCATAATGTTTCCAAACGACTTCCTATACGGCGAACAGTTAATCCTTGTTCTCAAAGATATGCATCGCAACAAGAAATATGCAAAACTAGTATTTTATCTAGAAACTTGTAAATCAGGTAAAAACTTCTAAAAAGTTTTAAAAATAAATAAAAAAAATTATTATATTTTCACCAGGATCCGTATTTGATAGCAATCTGCCCAACGATATTGACGTATACGCTGTCACGTCGTCGGCTCCTCTGCAGGACAGTTGGCAAGCGTTTTGCGATCACAAAGTATTTAAAGCCTGCCTGGGTAAATTTATAAAATTATTAATTACTATGTTAGATATTGAAATAAACAACTTACAATTATTATTATTATTTCCAAGGTGGCCTATTTAGTCATTATTGGTTGGAAAATAGTGACCGAGATCGGGACCTGAGATATGAAACACTAAATGAACAATTTGACTATATCTACGACATGGCTAATAAAACTAACTTACATCTAATTAATGGCACTCAACAGCCGCAACAATACGGTGATTTAAGTATCGCACAATTGCCAGCATCACAATTTATGGGTAACTTAAAAAATTTAACTTTTATTACTTTATGAAAAATAAAAATTATTAATTTACAATTATAAAATTAGGATACCGTGAAATACCTCATCAAACCCATGGACAATTTGATAACAAAGAATCTATTAATGATCATAATTTTGTAAATACAAATGATTTACCACTATATTTAGCGGAGAAAAATGTTGAAACAGCTGCTAATATCACAGAGAGATTACGGTATATTTTTATCGAAATTATATGTTATAAATTTTTGTGTAATTGTTGTTATTTATTTAAAATAATAGATATGTTGAAGAAATGGATAGTTTATTGAGAGGCAGACAATCTGTTGACAAACATATGACTGAATACGTGAATAGTATTCAACATTTACTGACAGTCGATAGCAATGCTATTCTAAACACTAAACAAGAGCTCAATAATAGACAGTGTTATCGACAATTTGTCGACAGTTTTCATCAAAACTGTTTTAATTTAAATCAAGTATTAAATCATTTAATTAATTGTTAATTTTATTTTTTATTAAATTATTAATTTTTTAAAAATCACAGAATCCTTACGTTTTGGAAAAACTGTATATATTTGTGAATATATGCGAAGAAATGCGTGAATCGAGTGATGCGGACATCAATGCTGTCAACCAATTGCTGATACAATACTGTCAGCAAAATAATGGCAATGAATTTGCAACAAATATACAATAAATAATAAACCAAAAAATTTGAAAGAATTTACTTTAATTTTACAATATTACAATATTAATGCATATAATTTATATTGTAACTTTTACAAATAATTGTACATTTAAACAATAAATTCTAAGCCAAACATTAAAAATATTAGATTGGTGATTTTAATGTGATCTTTATATTATGCGTGAAAATGCACTATAAGCAAATTACCTTGGACAGACGGTATATAACATTTAGTACAGTTTAAGAATATCATATCAGGTTATTAAATATAATTGTTTGATATAACATTTGTCAATAGTACTGCAATATAATTACTGCACATTATACTTTATCACTTTTATAATTCTTAGAAAATTATAATATACAATTGTTGTACAACCACTACTTTGATGTTAATTTATTTTTTGTAATTTCAAAAATTATTGCAATTTAAGATAATTACAAATAATATATTGTTTAATCTCAAGGTATTCATGGATTAAATGATAAAATGTTATATTTAATAACATTGTAATTATATAGAAATATACTTTTTATGTTGCTGTTTTTTGAACTAGTTTAATTAATACAAAAGATTGTACTTTTAGTACGTATGACCAGGCATATTGATATCCTCCTTATTAGTTTTACCTTAGGTCCTTTACAATTAATCTGAACAATTTAGTTCATTTTTAAAGTATAACTTACAATGATAATTTAATCATGGATTAATAATTATATTGAATCCGGACCACTAAGATTAATTAATGATCTAGGATATTGCAACGTAATTATTTTATACAAAAATTAACAGGATTCAAATCGTATATACCAAAAACAAAAAATAAGTATAAATATAACGCACGACTAAATATAAAATCATTATTTGTATTAACTAAACAATTATTTTAAATAGTTCGTTTAACAAACAATACAACTCAATAACAATGAGAATTGCATTAACTATTATTGTGACGCTTGTGGCGATTGTGGCTCTAGGTAATTTATACAATTTACAATATAATTTTTACTCATATAAAATTAAACATGTTTAATGAATGTCATAATTAAACAACTTGTTAAATATATGACAGGTGAAGCGTATATCGATCAGGCAGTGTTCGATCAATTCTTGAAGCAAGAACAAACTGGTGAGAAAACTGTGCTCGACGGTAAGGCCAACCTGATCGAGGACATCAAACTGCACCCGGACAATCGCTTTCAACACAAAACTTATTGCGGTCAACTAATCACCATAATTACTAATGTACGTATCAACATTGAAACATTTAGAGAAACGTACCATAGCGTGATTGGTTCAGGACAATCGTCAGCTGTGGCCGATGCTATTAACCGATGCAATGAGATATTGACTGATTTGAACGAGCTCAATAAAACTATCTAAATTGAATAATTAATTAAACACGGATGCTTTGTATTGGTTGTGTAAATTACAACATGTCAAAACATTACGCTTAATAATAATTAGATTTGTATTTAATCAAGAAATTAAAATTTATTTTATTGAAAAAATTGTTTATGCTTATTGAATTTGTGAACTTATTTTGTATTTTGTTAGAGGATAATTTCGGTCAATTGTAGCTATCAACTTATTAGCACGATCCTATAAACCACATTATTCATACTGAATTGTAAATTAAAAAGTTATTTAGGTATTGTAATTATTAAAATAATCATAGCAAACTTGTTTATATACAGTGTATACAATATTTAAAGGAATTAAATAATAAGTAATTTAAATATACATGTAATTATATTAATATTGTTTTATTAGAAATTATTTCAAAACTCAGAATAATTAAAATGAAAACATTTTAAGCAATGACTTTAATTATACATTAACATCCGGCAAAATTTAGCTCATCACTCAACTGGCGGTTATTTGTACAGTAAATACCTGTCACTTGTCTAACAAACTCCGGTCTCTGCAGCCATTGATTACGGCACTCATTGCAGTCCACGTGCGCTATCAACTCATTAGCCTTATTGGCGGCCACGAGTGGGCCAAACACTTTGGTATCCAAGTATGGCAGCTGTTTACTATCCAACAGCGTTACCGACACGGATCGATTGCCGCCGGTAAAGGCGCCCATATTAAAATTATCCAGATCAAAAGTGCAACCGTCAAAGATTAGGTGTACGCTATATGTTAACAGTCCGTCAAACGCGAACGCTCTAGCCTCAATTACCCCGATGTTTACATTGAAAAACTTGACTACTCGTACGGGCAGACCCGCGAACACTTGGCCACTGATCCGACCGACATCGATGGCGATTATGGTAATATGCGATAGTTTAAGCGCACACTTAAACGCATGGGCGGGCAGTTCAAGCATGCCTAGTGAATATAGTTCCAGGTAGTTTAATTGTGGCAGCGAGTTGACCACGGCCAAAATGTCACCAGGGTTAGTCAGTTGGAGTTCGCCAAATTTGACCTCGGTCAATGTGTCGGCTGTGCCGGCAAATGCCTGACGATCCATATGCTTTAGCAATCTTAGTCCGTTTATTTCAATTGAGGTGAATTTAATGTCAGCAAACGCGCTTGGTGGCAATTCTACACCCGACATGACCCCCAGCCTAAATGTGTTGAATGTTTTATCATGGTCGCTTAGTTTGCCGCTAATGTTTTGAAATACAGCCTTAATGTCAGTGATTTTGGTGTCCGAACAAAATAGATTAACTCCATCACGGTCCTCACATTTACATGGTTCAAATATGGTTTTGTCGGCCGGACATTTATCCATCATGTATATTTCCGGTATGTATAATGTGACAATTAATAAATATGGTAAAATACCTGTTTTGAATGTTCAAGTTTAAATTTATAAAAGTTACACTGCATTTGTTTAGCTATCTTATTTATTTTATTTAAAAATATAATTAGTGTCAAAGCTTACCAAATAATTTCATGGTTGATGTTGAATTTAATTTAAGATTAATAAATTATAATTTAAAAATAATTACTATGTTTTAAATATAACAAACTCGAACTACACGTATTCAATTTTATATTAATAAAATGATCAGTTATTTAACTTTGTAAATTGTTTTGTAAATTGTAACTTGCAAATTATTTATCAAGCCAAAGCTCCGTTGGTCTGTTAAAACCGCTGATGTTATTCACACGAGATGAAAATTTGCAGAATAGTTAAATATTATTTGAGATTTTTAATATTAAACATAGAAATTTAATATAATAACAAAGATTAGTTAATTACTAATTATTTATCATGTTTTAGTAGTATTATATTTATTAACTGTAATCATTTTTGCTATTATATGATGTGTTATAATAACAGAATTTACTAACCAATTAATTTGCTTATAATATTATTATAATTATAATAATTATTTTAGATCTAACTACTGTAGGTAAACAATGTATTACTACATTTTATTATCCTATTAATCTTTTCTTTTCTATTTAAACAATATTTTTAATTTTAAAACTTCTGTTTAAATACGTATATCATAACATAAAAAATTTTAGGTATTAAAATTATTACAAAACATTATTAAAATTAAAATCATAGTGACAAAACAATTAAATACACTTAATTCATTGATTAACACCCGGCAAAATTTAATTTATCAGTCAATGGGCGGCCATTCGTACAGTAAATACCCATCACTTGTCGGACAAACTCCGGTCTCTGAAGCCATTGATTACGGCACTCATTGCAATCCACGTGCGCTATCAACTCATTAGCCCGGTTTGTGGCCAGGAGTGGGCCAAACACCTTGGTATCCAAGTATGGCAGCTGTTTATTATCATTCAAAATTACCGACACGGGTCGAGTGCCTCCCGTAAACGCATCGACACTAACATTAGCCATAGAAAAAGTATCTTGATTAAAAATCAGTCGTACGGTTGATTTTAATGGCCCTTCAAAGGCAAACGCGTTGGGCTCGATCACCGAGATGTTTGCGTATACAAACTCAATTACTCGTATACTAGACCCTAACCCGGCGAACGCATGCGCGCTGACCCGATCGATATGTTCGCTGTCAATAGTAATTGTACGCAAATTGATTGCCCCTGAAAACGCGTTTGCTGGCAAAGTATGTATGCCCAACATTGTCAACATTAGTGTATGCAATTCTGGTAGCCGGTTGACAGTGGCAAAAATGTCCTGGGTGTTTGTTAGATTTATGCCAACAAGTTCTAGCTTTTGTAGTGTATTGGTTGTGCCGGCAAAAGCATCCCGGTCTATACGCCTGAGCGAATGAATGCCGTTGATTTCGATCTCGCTAAATTTTATGTCTGCGAACACGTACGCTGGCAACTCTACTCCAGACATGTAGGTTATCATTAATTTGGTAAATGTTTTATCAAGGCCGTTTAGTTTTCGGCTTATGTTCTGAAATATGGGCTTGATGTCGGTGATCTCGTGACTTTTACATATTAATATCTTTATGTCGTGATCATCGCCGCAGAAACATGGTAAAAATATGCTATCATCGGTGGGACATTTATCCATCATGTGTATTCCGGGTATACATACTGTGCAATAGTAAACCGTTAATAGTAAACACCGTGTAGTATCTGTAATAATAAATACATTTTTATATAATGTTTATACAGTTTACAATGTTTATTTATTAAGTTCGAGTAATAGTGAGTGAGTGAGTGAGTAAGTGAGAGAGAGAGAGAGAGAGAGAGAG